ACAATCCTTGGGCTTCTTTTCTTCACATATAATGTGAAGATATTACACTGATCTCTAAGACCTCCTCCACTTTGTAGGATATTAAAATCCTTGCCTTGAGAAAATCAAGGGGACATTTTCCAAAAGGAATAGATTGCCTTCACACCCAAATGGCATCATTGCCTCCTCTAAAATGTTCAAGGTTATAACCCATCTAAACTGAAGAAAGCCCAAGCATGAATGAAGAATCAGACTTTCAGTCAGGATGACAGATTAAAATCCTCTCAATTAGCTTTACTCCAGACACCATGAAAACCAAACCAAAAAAAAAAAAAAATCTGTAAATTCAAAGAGAATGGAGACAACAGCATTCGATTTTTCCAGGCTGCAGAGTATGTGATTAGCAGGCCGAGAAAGCTGAGCTCTAAATGAGAACTTAAGAAAGCTGATAAGCAAGCGGGCTTACTGAAACATACACAAAAGATTCATAAATTGTTGTCACCTAGTGCCTTGAAGAGGGGTGAGGTTAGGGATGAAAACTGGAAGACAGACAGAAATTCCATTTAAGGATCCTACCTCCCCATACACATCCAATTCCCTACTTTGAACAATCAGAAGACAGACTTACCAAATTCTGGCAAAAGATGAGAGGGTTATTCACTGCAAAAGATATTTTAAAAAAGACTCTGGAATGGGGGCCTAAGTATAACTGAGGAAAAATGTGTTAAAAAGAAAACAAGCTGGGGCTTCCCTGGAGGCGCAGTGGTTAAGAAGCTACCTGCCAATGCAGGAGACACAGGTTCAAGCCCTGGTCCGGGAAGATCCCACATGCCGCAGAGCCACTAAGCCTGTGCATCAGAACTACTGAGCCTGCGCTCTAGAGCCCGTGAGCCACAACTACTGAAGCCCACATGCCTAGAGCCTGTGCTCCGCAAAAAGCCACCATGTTGAGAAGCCCTCGCACCTCAAGGCTTCAACTAGAGAAAGCCTGCGTGCAGCAACGAAGACCCTATGCAGCCAAAAATAAATAAATAATTTAATTAAATAAATTAAAAAAAAAAGAAAACAAGCAATTTAGTGAGAGTATATATCCTGAATGTAGAGACCCCTAGACCTCTTCTCTAAAATTATTTCTTGATCCAACAATCTCATTTTGAGGAATTGTGTTCATATAAATAAATACAAAAGATATATTAATATTATACACATATTATAGAATATTAGACATCTATTTAAATGATTTATTAAATTTATAATCAATACAGCAAGAAATAACCCCTTACAAATTTTAAGTGAAAAAAAGTAATTTTTTGGAAGAATACGTTTAGAATGCACTTACTGGTTAAAAAAAGGGGGGTAGAAAGAAACAATTCCTTGATATGTAGCATGTAACATGTATATCTGTATAGTTATGTAAATATGCATAATAACGTGAAGCAATACCTTGAAAATTGTTGATTTCAGTACTATTATCAACCAAATGGACACAAAGGCTTTTCCTGCGTATAATACCCAGCACAATGCTAATGATCTACAAGACAGATTTTCATGTTCTCATCATACATATTACAGATACTTCTGTTTCAGCACCTATAAACTTTGATTGAACTGATATGTTTACTTATCTTCTATCTACCCAATATTCTATAAATTAGATTGAACCATATGAAATTGTCCGTATTTAACCATTTGACCTACACAAAATGTATTTCCCATTTTTTAGCCTGTGATTTATCTGTTTGTTTGTTTATTTTACTCTGGGATAAAGGAAATTCCCTGAGGACAGATATTTTGTTTCTTTGGTTCTCTTATCCCTTGTGCTGAAATACTGAGTGACTAATAGTGGGCATTGGAAAGAGTTTTAAAATTTGTGTATGAGTAAATAATGTAGCATGTATCACTTTTCTTTTTTAAATAGGAAATAATATATATTCAAATGTCAATTTTTAAAGGTCTCTAATAACATTTGTATTCCTCTTTAAACAAATAGTTGTTTAGGTTGTAAAATTGATGGTTTAATTTCGAAGAATTATTCTTTTCTTTACACATTTGTACCTAATTTCCAGTTTTAGAGTGTTATCAAAAATATGGCCTGTAAATTTTTTTTTTTTTTTTTTTTTTTTTTTTTTTTGCGGTACACGGGCCTCTCACTGTTCTGGCCTCTACCGTTGTGGAGCAAAGGCTCCGGACACGCAGACTCAGCGACCATGGCTCAGGGGCCTAGCTGCTCCGCGGCATGTGGGATCTTCCTGCACCGGGGCATGAACCTGTGTCCCCTGCATCAGCAGGTGGACTCTCAACCACTGCGCCACCAGGGAAGCCCTGGTCTGTAAAATTTTAATCTTTTACAAATTTTGTCCAAATATGTGACTAAGTTTTATAAAATTTGGTGCACTTAAGAAAACACGTAGTTCTCTGGTAGGGTATCCAATTAATGTGTCTATTATTTCAAGTTTATTAACTGAATTATTTGAATTTTTATCAACCATAGGTTGATGATGTTGCTTCCTACTACATTGAATCTGTTTTTATCTACTTATATTTTTAAATAGGTTGCTGATATTCAGAAAATTTATAACCATTAAGTATCTAAGATAAATTATTTTTTATCAATAAATAATGACCCTTTGCTCTGTTCAAAAAAAAATCTCCTATTTTTGAAATTAGTTTCTAATTATTAAATTATCTTCTTATAATTGAAATGATGAAGACTGCACAAACAGGCCTTAAAATTTCTTGTATATATTTTTATCCAACATCTATCCCTAAGTTTTTTCCCAGTGATCTTTAACTACAGTAAAAATTACAATGTATGAAAGTCAAATGAAGTGGCACTGACTTATATGCAGTCGACAGGGCAAATGAACTGCATAACTACTCTTATAAAATTTAAATTTTAGTTGGGATACAAAACAAAACAAACAGAGCAATCCTTGATCTTTTTTTGGTATTTGATTTAGTTCCAGATCTTCAAAGTTAAGCTTGCTTTCTTCTGCGTCATTAATCCTTCAGAAAGAAAAAAGAGAGTAGAAAAGAAAATAAGATTATTTTTTAAAATACACATGTAACTCTATATATCGATATATATACATATATATACAAACATACATAATATACATATGTACATATATATAAACCCGACTGTGTGTGCTTGTTTGTATATATACGTATATGGAGAAAGAGAGAGAGAGAGGTTGAGATTCATTCTTCATTCACTAGAAGAGAGTGATCTGCTTATTTCCCAGACAAGCGTGGGTCATCTGTTTTTACTTGAATTCAATTAAATTTTCATAATCATTGTTGGAGAGATTTGATGGAGTACACCACACAGATGACACTATTTATCTTCCTTAAAATTTGCTTAAATGCATGTTATCTGATTTTCCTGTCAACCTGTCCATGGACTTGTCTCTAAACTAAGTTGGGCTAACATATAAATTGAATTATTAGTAGACCTTTGCTATTAACACAAATATTATTCCAACAATAGCATATCACACTTAAGGCCCAAACAAATCAAGTACATGAATGAATGGTTATCTAGAGCTCAGATAGGAGGCCAAAATTTGCTAACTTTTTTTGGTTTTGATTTTTGTTTTTGTCATAACTTCCTTTGTACACTACTTAAATTTCAATCCTTTCATAACAGAAAATTATTTATCTTTCTCTTTACAGGTGGTGGAAGACTACATAACTTTGCTGGAAAGAAATGGAATCGCAGAACAGAAAGTTAATTTCCATGACAATTACCTAAAATTTTCAGCTATACCTCACCAGGTATAAATCACATATGAATTTTAAAATAGTTTTTCATTGATCAGGCTTCAAATATGTAATTTACTGTTATTCCTAAATAAACTGTATTTAACGATTATCCCACATTTTAGGCTAGAACCTTGATAGCTTCCTCTTAGTTTGAAACACAATAAGTAAGCTATGCTGCTCTCCATATTAGTCTTTATAAATCTCCCATCATAAAATAAAATAGCATATCTCTTCCATTTCCTTTGTAGTACATAATATGTTCACAATCAGTTTCTTCATTCTTTCAATAAAAGTTGATTGAGCCCCTAGCATGTGCCAGGTACCACTTCAGCCACTAGACGTAAGAGCAGTGAAACAAAACAGACAAAAGTCGTGCCTTCATAGGGCTGACATTCTAGCAAGGAGCTCAAATTTATAGTGTGGAGGTTGGTGATAAGTGCTATGGAAACAAAGAAAGCAGGGAAGGGGATGGGCAGGTGGGTGCAATGTTAAGTGTGTTGGTCTGGGAAAACTTCATGGAGAAGGGCCATATAGACAAAGACCTGAAGGAGGTGATAAAAAAAAAAGCCATTTGAATATCCAGGAAGGGTATGAATGAATATTTGGAGGAGATGACACAGTTACTAACACAACTAGTCATCAATTTTCAAATTCTTTGCAGCTAAAATTTAAATTTAACAAATACCTTCTATTATCGATATCTAAATAGGACCACTTCAGTTCAATAGGGTAAAAGAAGTTTGGTGTGCTTTTCTAGACCTATTTCTCTCTTTCACAGGAACACTTTCCCCTTCTCCCTATTGATCATTTTCTCCCTTTTCTCTGATTGAAGTCCACTCTCAGGGAAATATACACAATAGGTTTATTCACACTAGAAGGTATATAGACTGATAAACCTTACAGGTGTAAATGTCTGTCCTCTGGAACGATTGAATTTTTTAAGTAAACCCAAGTTCAAATGAAATAAATCAGTTTATAGCAGTGACCTTTCAGGAACTGGCAAGAGGTAATAATGCTTCTATAAGGTGTACAGGGAGAAAAACACTGGCTTTTCAGCTGGAAATCTTAGATCTCTTTTTACTAAGTTGTTCATCATGGGCACATTATGTAATCTCACTGAGCCTCAATTTTTCACTTGTAAATACATTAAAGTATTAGATGGAAAAACTATGACAACTGCAGGTACAACGTTATATATTGATCTCAATTTCTTTTCTATGAGATTCTATAGAAGACATTTTAAAAGGAGGAAAAACAAAGGAAGAATATTTAATTCAGCAATATCAGAGAGTGCATTTCTAACTCAATGCCTTCTGTTTCTTAAGTACCCATTAAATGATAACCCTGATTTCAACTGAGGCAATCTTGTAAATATGGTATGGTACACTAAAAAGTCCCATGAATTTTATGTATTAAAAGTAAAATGAATGCTTGGAAATGTCTGCTGCGATCCACAGTGTATACCATATATATTTTCTAAGTCCACCAACTGCCTCTGAATTTACTATTTATAATTTACCCATTCTTAATTAGCAGGCTGCTCCCCAAGTCAGTCCTGCTACAGGCAGAACATGACGTAGAATATAAGAAAACAAAGTGTTTCTGGTCGCTGAAAGCAAGCCATACATATTCATGGTGAAAACAGAAAATCATTTGCCAAACTGTGGATGGTAAATACAAATTAACCTTGTGAGGAAAAGTGTAATATTTGCATTTTCAAGACTTAGATCTCTCTGGGATTAATTAGGTGATCAGTAGGAATTAGAGTTATCACGAACAAAACCTGGCCTTAGATTGCGTGTGTCACTGTGTGTGTCGTATTATTCATTATTTTCTCTTTCATTATAATTCTCTGGTCCAATCCACAAAGACTGTGCAACGAACTGATTGATTAAGCCTCTCTTTGAAAATATTTTGCCAACTGTACGGGGCTACATAAATAAAACGAGGTTTTATTATTTCTACGTTTGCACAACAGAATAACAAAGAGATCTATTAATGTTCTGGAAGACTCTCCAATTGTAACCCTCCTGTCTATCCCCTCTGTTACCTCCGTGGTGCGACTAGTCAACATTTCCCTTCTGGTAGAATACACAGCTTCTTAACTGTTCTCTCCAGCTCAAGGTTGGCTCCATTCTCGTCCATTCCCACAGTGCTGCCAGAGTGAATTTTCTGAGACCCAAGTATCTTCAAGTCAGATCATTTATAAAGCTCAGCCGTGCCTTTTGGATAAAAAGCAACTTTCTTAGCTTGCCAGAGATTATCTTTGCCCTGCCTACCTCTTCAGACTCATCTCCTGGCATTCAATCTGTCAACAATTCTTGATCAAGCATCAATTTTATGCCAGGCATGGTTCCAGGCACTGCACATCTCACTCTTTTACAGCCTAGCTTTATTAAATCACAGACAGCCCCTACGCAGACTGGGGTTTCTAAGGTTTCTGGCCCTTTTCACATTTTTCTTTTCCTGCAGAGAATACTCTTTTTCTCTTCTGCGTCATGATAAATGCTTATGGTTTAGGATGCAGCTCAGACATCGAATTCTATGGGAAGGCCTCCCTGACTTCATTTTGCCCAGTTCAGTGCCACTCCCAAGGATTTTACCCTGGACCCATTATTGTCATATCACTTACCACCCTGCATTATATCTGTTAACTCTCCTCTTGTCTTTCTCCTGCCTTCAACTTCTTGCCCCTGAAAGCAGGGACTGTGTCTGTTATTTCTGATTTGATAGTGTGTAGTAGAATCTCTGGCACATTATAGACGTGAAATAAATATTCACTGAAGGAATTAATGCCAGAGGGAAAAATGCCAGAGGAGTAGAACAACAAAGAGAAGTCATCTGTGTCTCTCAAATTCATAAAACAAGTTTTCATTAATTATTAAGATATTTGGGTGAAGGCAGATTTGTGCTTTCTTTTATATTACTTATATCCTGTTAGTTAGCCCTGGGAATTTATTACAGAATTTAATATATCCTGTCATTAGGAATCTACCCTTTTAGTTTATTTTACTAAAAAAATTTATCTTTGAAATCACAAGCTTAAAAAAATCATATATCATGTCTGAAGATTTGTCAGTTTGAAAGACAATTGGGGCCTTTCCTAAGTAGTTCCCCAAAATGCAGGTGAGGACCTATGGTGGGTTGGCATGTGCCTGGCAATAAATTATGGACCAAAGTTTGGAGAGAATCCAAGCCAAAGAGCAAGTTAGGACATCAAAACACATGTCAAATTGTAGGCAATAGTCTACACCAGAGGTCAGCCAAGTGTGGCCTGCTACCTGTGTGTTTAAGGCCATAATCTAAGTTGTTTTTTGTTTTTACAGTTTTTAAATGGCTACATGCTAAATGGTTATCTAAGAACCTCTGTTTTTACCTTTCGGTCCACAAAGCCTAGAATATTTACTATGTGACTTTTGACCTGCAAACAGAACAAGTTTGAAGACCCCTGGTCTACTAACAGAGACAAAGAAAGGAGATGACAGAGATAAGAAGAATACAAACAGAATCTCGTTTTTTCTAGAGCAGCCCAATGAATTTAGACATATGTAAAGCAGGAACACCTGAAACCACAATGATGTGTGAAAAAGTTTCTTGACTTATGTTCAAGAATATAAAAAGGATTCACTTTTTATATATCCAATCAACTAGCTAATCCTAGAAGAAAGTCTTATTTTAGAAGTTTACCCATAGTCCTGGAGATGCTATAAGGGAATTTGATGGTACAATGATGGTGTGAAACATATAAGAAAAAGAGGGTAAAGGTTTTAAGGAAAAAAAGAAAGCCAAAGAACTTTCTAGTCATGAATGTCCCTTCCTAGACATGAATAAAACTGGAAGATTTATTTTTGGGTGGATCCTCATCTAGAAAACTGTGATAAGGAATGAATGTTTGGTGGCCCATGTGAACTGACTTCAATTCACTTTGGACTTCCAATATCATTGTCAAAAGCTCACACTAATCTCATCCATCCTTCTCCTCACTCACAATGTGTGTTCACTTAAATTGGACCTCAGATTTATCTGCAATGATAACTGCATGTCAAATTGATAAATTTTGCCAAAAAGACACTAGACCACGAGTGTCTTTTTGGCAAAATTTAGGCCCACCTTGACTAAAGACATGTTAAGAGCTCTGGAGTGAGAAAGTTCCGAAATCTATAGTGCATTCCCTTCCTGTTCTTAAGAAAATGGCAGCATATATAATGGAGTATATAATTGAAGCAATTGTGATTGATGTGTGATGTTCTAAATGGAATATATGGAGAATGATCAGTGTCAAACAGTCCTTAATTTAGGTACCAACGCTATAATCTGAAACTTGTAAAAGGCCCTTTTTGACCTTGTTTTTTTTCTTCTTCTTCTATTTAATTGTCTCTCCTCCATATGTTCTTTATATCTCAAAACAAAGTAGAAGGCAGTTCTCTAGGAGCAGTTACAGGGCTGCATTTTATTCATAACATATAATCATTGATGCCATTCCTTGAGGACCTCCAGTATGTTAGGCTGTATAAGCATTTCTTATTCTTACAAAAACATGGCAAATTAGAGTCTCCACTCTTCTGGTAAGGAAACTGATGCTTGGAGAGATTAAGTAACATAACTGTGTTGGACTGTGCATATCACCTTGGATAAGGCTGGGAACCATGCTCCCCAGAATGTTATTCCTTGGATGTCTCCAGGTTAAAACTAGCCCAAAGTGGTACTGACATGAGACTTGGAAGACAAAGTAAAGCAACAGTCACTTCTCTTAGAAGATGGTTGCGATTAGACACAGTGGTGGACAGAGACAGCATTTCTTGCTCTCTACTGATCAAAAGCAACCTCAGCTCACCACCAGATTCTTTGTTGTACACCACAGAGGTGGAAGCTACACAAATGCAATGGCTTCATAAACATGCTGCAAGCTCCCTTTCTGTGGCCTCATTTTAATAGCCAGATGTGCTTGGCTTCTCAGATTTCTTTGAAAACTCTGGCTTGTCCACCTGTAACAGTGCATCAGGAAGACTGGCTAGTGCTTCTTTCTCTGATAGCTTGACCTCCCTTTCCAGACTTTCACTTCCTCGATTCTTCCCACATTCGTCTGAAGTTTAATTTCTGTAATAATCCTTTCACTCCTATAATGATCACTGTGACTTTGCTCCCTCGTTTAAACTCTAACAGATACACACAACCAAGACCACAGAGAAAATAAGTGAACCTAGGACAGTCACAGCTAAAGTCTATGCTCTTTTTTCCATGGATTGCTGTTTTCAGCCATCTCTATGTTTAAAGATGGTATTATTTAATTTTTTTATTGAAGTACAGTTGATTTACTTTATTATATTACTTTCAGGTGTACAACATAGTGGTTCAATATTTTTATAGATTATACTCCACTTAAAGTTATTAGAAAATAATGGCTATATTGCCCAATATATCATAATGGCTATATTGTACAATATATCATTTTTGCTTATTTATTCTATACATAATAGTTTGTATCTCTGACCCCATACCCTTATATTGCTCTTCCTCCCTTCCCTCTCTCCACTGGTAACCATTAGTTTGTTTGCTATATCCATGAGTCTGTTTCTGGTTTGTTATATGCATTAGTTTATTTTTTAGATTCTGCATGTAAGTGGTAACATAGAGTATTTTTTGTCCTGTCTGATTTATTTCACTAAGCATAATACTATCTAGGTCCATCCATGTTGCTGCAAATGGCAGAATTTCATTCTTTTTTATAGCTGAATAATATTCTAGCGTGTGTGTGTATGTGTGTGTGTGTGTGTGTGTGTGTGTGTATCACATCTTCTTTATCCATTCATCTTTTGATGGACACTTAGGTTGCTTCCATATCTTAACTATTCTAAACAATGCTGCTATGAACATTGGGGTGCATGTATATTTTTGAATTAGTGTTTTTGTTTTCTTTGGATATATACCCAGCAGTGGAATCACTGGGTCATAAGGTAGTTCTATTTTTAATTTTTTGAGAAAATAAAGATAGAGTTATTTAGTTAAAAACAACAAAGACACAAACATCATGTACTACATTACTTTGTAACACTGTGGAAGAAATCAAAACAAAAGACACCTATTTCCAGTCCTTTAAAGATGATGGAAAGTGTAGTATTCACAGATCACCATAATACAAGGTAACAGGAAGTAAAGGTCATGAGAAAAGTGCAGGCAGAGCATTATGGGCCCTCAAAGGTGTAAGAGAAGGTGTGCCACATGGAGACTTCAGAGATGGATGCTCCCTCAGAATTCATACAAAGAGAAT